TGCAGAGCGGCTAGGCCCGTGAGCCATGGATGCTGAGCCTGCGCGTCCGGAGCCTGTGTTCCGCAACGGGAGAGGTCACAACAGTGAGAGGCCCGCGTACCACAAAAAAAACCCCCACAATATCACCTCACACCCATTATGATGACTACTAAAAAAAAAAAAAAAAAAAGAAAATAACAAACATTGTCAAGGATGTGGAGAAACTGGAATCCTTGTGCACTGTTAGTGGAAGTATAAAATGGTACAGCTGCTATGGAAAACAGTCTGGAGGTTTCTCAAAGAATTAAAAATAGAAGTACCATAGGATCCAGCAATACCACCTCTGGGTGTAAATCCAAAAGAACTGAAAGCAGGGTAATGAAGAGATTATTTATATACCCATGTTCATAGCAGGATTATTCACAATAGCCAAAAGGTGAAAGGGACACAAATGTCCATCAATGGATGAATGGATAAAGAAAACACCATATAAATACATGATAGAATATTATCTAGCCCTAAAAAGGAAGGACATTTTGACACATACTACAACATGGATAAACCTGGAGGACATTATGCTAAGTGAAACAGGCCAGTTACAAAAAGACAAACGCTATATGATTCCACTTACATAAGGCATCTAGAGTAGTAAAACTCATAGAAAAAGAAAGTCAAATAATGGTTGCCAGGAGCTAGAGGGAAGGCAAAATTGGGGGTTGTTTAACAGGTATAGAATTTCAGTTTTACAAGAGTTCTGCAGATGGGCTACTCAACCGTGTGAATATATTTTACATGACTGAACTCTACACTTAAAATGATTAAGATGATATATTTTATGTTGTATGTATTTCACCACAATTAAAATATTTTAAATATGCTGAATAAATATTGATAGTATTATAGCTATTTTGCTAGCTATATAATTGATCAGTCGGTAGCTAGCTAACCAGAGAGAGAGATTTTTGAGGAAAGCTGTGAACTGAAAATACAAATTTGGAAGTCATACAAAGAGACAATAATTTTATTACACGACATTCTTCTGTTCCCTTCATCCTTAAAATCTTGAATTTTCAATGACTCTATAAATGTACAGTCTTCTCATCCTATGCTCCCTGAAGCCTGAGTTTGACACAAGAGTCTGGTTTCATCTCCAGGAGAAAACAAGTTGAAGATTTTCAAGCAACAGCAGAAATGGAGTGTTACCAGCTGTGCTATACTGCCACAACAAAAAAAATCTCTACCTGTCTATGCACCTAATTCTAGCAAAATTAAAAATGAGAAGTGTAGACAGGAAAAAAATAAGACTACTCTTTTGAGTAGTCTTATTTTTCTAGAGAAAAATCCACTGTTTACACATCAATATACATCCCTCTAGAATCATATTATTCTGCCTACCTTGTTTGCGTACATCCTCAACAGCAGCAACCAATTCCTCTTTGAGATCTTGACTCTCCTTAGCGATCTGTTCACCCTTTTCCAGAAAGTTCTGAGTGGCTTGCTCTACAGATGCAGCCAGTACATGGGCTTTCTTTGACCTCCCTTTCTTTTTACCAGATGGGCCTTTGTTGCTTGTGTTGACAAGGGTCGTCACCTTAAATACAAAAGAACAACTGTAAAATTACTCTGCATAACTGTCTAGAAATAGCATATTATCATCTCATAATTTTAAAGTATCCTTTGCTTATTAAGTCATGAATACACATTACATAGCCTTATCTTAAGGAAAATGTGGAATTGTATGGTTTAGCATATAAATTAACAGCAATTTATTTCCTGTAGAAGAAAAAAGCATGTGAATAAGGAAGAGAAGCAGATTTGCCAGTAGCTCAGTTTCCAATCCACTGGAGGGGGTGCTTTCACAGGTTGACAAATTTAGCGCTGGTTGGAATATGCAGCTTCAGAGAGGAAATAAAATAAAATAAAATGTAGAACTGCCTTTGAGCTTTGAATCAGAAGAACCAATAACTGAGCCCAAAAGTCAGGGCAGAGGTGCATGAGTAGCTAATAAATGGTGGGCCATCAATATGCATTATTTATGTGTCACTTACCAAGGACTTTGAAGAGCCTTGCTATTTCTGATTTCATCTTATAAAAACAAAATGGTAAATTTGATCCAAAGAGACCGAATGGTTCAGTCTCAACATTTGGTTAACCTGCTAAAATTTCCAGAATTGAAATTAAATTTGCATTACCACTCCTTTTCTAAGTATCATAATTTGGATACAATATCTCACCTGCCAAACTTCTTTTAGCACTCCGTCTAGAGCTATTTAATATGCTAACAAAGCTTTTAATATCTTTTAAACAACTTATCTCCTGTAGACTTCTGAACCTTTATTTTCTGCCAGTGAGAAGTCTGGGAGGGAAATGAATGCAACTGTTCCATATTCTATTCAGCTAGTCATCTACACCTCTGCATTTTTTTTATCAGCTTCATAAGAATGTGGATGCTGTGGTTTATTTGCACTGACGTGTATCCTGGTTAGCAAACTAAAGCCTTTATTGGAGGTTATCAAGAAAGCTCGTCCACAGAAAAGTTCTAAATGCTATAGTCTCTACAATTTACTCCAAATCCGAGAGCAAGCAGTTATTAGGCAAAGTCACAATTAACGTCCAGTCAGTTTACAGGGCAAGAGATAGTATCAGAAGAAAAGTATTGAATAAATGTGAACCAAGATGATGAATGTAGCAGAACCATTACTTCAGAAGTGGTTAATACGGCATTGGGAGCTGTCATATTCAGCTTTCTTTTGATTGTTAATAATTAGACACAGTGAATTAAAAAAGGACTCTGTAAGGACACTTAAGTACAAACACTAGACAGAAAAAAGAAAGATAAAATCATTAAGAATAAGACTGTCAGAAAACGCTAGTTAGCTGTAAAATTCGTATGCAGTCAGTAACACCTTGCAGTCTTTTCAGTTCCACCCACAGAGGCAACCATCAGAAGAAAGACAGCCTGTCTCCAAAGTTACTTTTTGGAGGTACAAGAATGTTCTCCTTAAAGACGGTTTACTCTAGCACATTAACATAGCTCTCTTCCAGGAACCCCAACTCTCCAAAGAGCCACTACCTGGAAACGAGTTTTTATGCTTCCTAAGCAAACACAGCAAACACCTCAAAAATCTTTTATTTGTATTTATTTTTATTTTTTAATCAAATGTATTTGCCATATAACATTGTATAAGGTTAAGGTGTACAACATGTTAATTTGATACATGTATATAGTGTGTTAATACATGTATATGTTGTAATATGATTGCCATTGTAGTGATAATTGGCACCTCTATCCCTTTACATAATTACAGTACAATATGGTTGTCTATATTCATTACACTGTGCATAATTTCTCTATTTAGGCTAGGCTCTTTATTGGAGGAAAATATTCCTATTCTCACTGATATCTGATTTGTTCTCATTTTATATATAATTTTGAGACGTTCTGTGATCTAACTTTTCAGTCTTCTCAAATCAGAAAAAATGGATGGAGTTGGAAGCCATTAATGTTAGGCATATTGGCAGTTTTGGGGAGTGGAAGCTGACAGTGAATCTATTAATACCAAAAGAGCTAAATGACTATATTCTGGTTCACCTTCTGCAAAGGCAAACAGATTTCAGTTTTTGTGCTGTCTCATGGTGCACTGCTGTGTCAAGCACAGTTTAGGTAATGCTCCTAATAACAAGTCAGTATGAAGTGTCAGTATGCGGGAAAAAATAAACATAGAACGTTACCAGGAAGTTCCTTAGAAAAATGTAATTACTTTCAAATGAAGCAAATCCATTCAGTCCTCTTTTAGTAAGAGCTCTCATTTCTTCGCATGTGGAAGAATGTAAAGGGATACAAGATAGCAGAATAGAAGGAAAATTATGAGGCTCCATAAATGCTCATGTCTTAATCAGTCTAGAATGAAGAAATAATTGTTAACTCTCCCTATTGCTATTCAGTGCTTTGCTGAAGGACAAAGTCAACAAGTTAGATAAGAAAAAAGAAAGAAGAGATATAAACATTAGAAAGTAGACACATGAAATTGTCATTACTTACAGAGAATATGAATGTATCGAGAAACTACAAAAGAATTAAAAGACAAACTATTAGAACTATTAGTGGTTAAATACTAGATAAGCAATAACAACCTAATAGAACAGCATTACCAATGAAAAATCTAGTTTAAAATATCGTATTCACAATAGCCATAAATTGATATTCTCAGAGATAACCATAACACAAAATATAGAATGTTGTATGAAGAAAATTATAATTGTAATGAAGAACATGGAAGATGATTTAAATAATAGAGAGACACACCAATGAGCTCTGGAGACTACAGATCTCTGTGTCTAAGCCTGATATCCAGGCTGGGACTAGGTCTTGGGTAGATGGGGCTTACAGACTTTTTTTTTTTTTTTTTGCGTTACGCGGGCCTCTCACTGCTGTGGCCTCTCCCGTTGTGGAGCACAGGCTCCGGACGCGCAGGCTCAGCAGCCATGGCTCACGGGCCCAGCCGCTCCGCGGCATGTGGGATCTTCCCGGACTGGGGCACGAACCCGTGTCCCCTACATCGGCAGGCAGACTCTCAACCACTGCGCCACCAGTGAAGCCAAGACTTACATACTTTTGAAGGTCTAGTGCAGCTTGTTGGCAACCTTTTAAGAGATGGTTATTCTGTAGAAATTCCTGGTTGAATGGTACACCTTCTCTTACCCCAATCAGGCACTCTCTCTAATCCCCACATCAACTTTCACCCAAGGCAAGAGTCATTCAAGATCCACACAATCCCGTTACCTCTCTAACAATTTGTGAGCACATCTTTTGTGCAGAAGAAAAAAAATAGAAAACATAAAGTTCCAGCAACAGAGACTAGGAGTAATAGCATGAACATTGACGTGTAAAAATGGGCATGATGTTTTCTAGGTAGTAAGGAGACCATTCTCACTTGAGAGGGTGGCTGTATATGAATGATATAGGAAACAAGATTAGATAGATGCGGTGGAGTAAAACTTTTAAAGGCTCTGAAAGCCAAGCTAAGGAGTTTAGCTTTTATTAGCCACTGTCAACATTTTTTTTAAAATGAGAAGCATATGTGTTAAAGTGTCCGTGTTCTCTTTCCATTCATTTCTCAGCCCACTGAAATTCTGCTTTTATCCTCACACCTCCTGTAGCAGAGTCCTCTTAAACTGATCTCTCACTAAAGTAATTAATAAGTTGCCAAAATCAAATTACTTTTATCTTATCATACTACTCTATCACATTTAGTGCTATTGACTCACCTCTTCTTTCTCCTGGAAATATCTCCTGGCTAATTCTTTTAGCAATAATCTTTTCCTTCTCCAAACTTCTGTCGCTTTTAGGAGGGTCATCAAGCTTACTTGTCTCTGTACCCACCTTTATCTTCCTCCCTCCTACACCAGGAAAGACTTGCTGCTACCACCACCCTTTTTTTTTGAATTTATTTTGTTAAAGTATAGTTGATTTACAATGTTGTGTTAATTTCTGCTGTACAGCAAAGATATTCAGTTATTCATATGCATACATTCTTTTTCATATTCTTTTCCATTATGGTTTATCACAGGATCTTGAATCTAGTTCCCTGTGCTATACAGTAGGACCTTGCTGTTTATTCATTCGCCATATATACTAGTTTGCATCTGCTAAGCCCAAACTCCCAACCCTTCCTTCCCCCACTCCCTTGGCAACCACAAGTCTGTTCTCTATATCTGTGAATCTGTTTCTGTTTGTTAGATTAGTTCATTTGTGTCATATTTTAGATTTCACTTACAAATGATATCATATGGTATTTGTCTTTCTCTTTCTGACTATTTCACTTAATATGATAATCTTTAGGTCCATCCATGTTGCTGCAAATGGCATTATTTCATTCTTTTTCTATAGCTGAGTAATATTCCACTGTACATGCATACCACATCTTCTTTATAGATTCATCTGTAAATGGACATTTAGGTTGCTTCCATGTCTTCGCTATTGTAAATAGTGCTGTTATGAACATAGGGGTCCATGCATCTTTTTGAATTATTGTTTTGTACTACCACCCTTTTAAACTGATCTTCTGATCACATCATTCAGATTCATTGGCTATGCCAACTTCTCTCTAAACCCTCAACATGGCCCCTCTTTGTAGGCAACTCAACCTTAGCTTAGCAGGATATTTGATTTTCTCTAGTCATATATCTCAAATATTTCCTCAATGTCTCTGCCTCTCATCAAAGAAGAGAAGAAATCCTGCAGCTCATAGATGAGAGTATAAGTGGTTAATCGTTCTAGAACCTTGACCTAATGTTGGTCCCAATGGACCCTGGTCAATAAAAAAACCTCAGCAATAGCAAGAGGATGGGAAATATAGTTTTCAGATACGTTGACTGTGTGATTTGAGTATGAAACTATGAGACCCAGGCTGGTATAGACTGCTCATCATCTAATGTCCTAAGACTAGACCCTCCATTCTTACACAACGGCAAGTAATGCAGTAGCCAACACCACTTCATTCCTTTCATTTTTTTGCAATGTGTTTTATTGTAAGACAACTTATCTGACCATGTCTCTTCAACTTGATCAGTTCTCTGCTTCCAGGATGT